CTGGGATTACAAGCGTGAGCCACCATCCCTGGCCCGTATGTTTTTAATAATTTCAATAAATTCTGTATTTGGACAGAATTTCTTGCATATCAGCACAGTAATACAATTTAACAGTATTCCTAGTCAGAGGTAGTAATATTTAGCCCTCTTATAAAGATGAACAATGTCAAGTGATTAAGGTATAAAAATCAGCAATGCCTTTCCTATTAGTGATTCCATTTAATGATTTTCTCTCGTGTTATGATACACTAATTATTTTAAGAAGCTGATCATTTAGCAGTCTTGTGTTAAAGGAGAGTATTAAAAATCTGATTGTTAAAAGATTACCATATAAGAGTAGCTTTTTCTGAACTCTGAGCACATGGCAGACTTTGTTTTATGTAGCCAAAGGGCCATACAGATTAATCCATTTATTTATAATGAATATGAGTGTTTCACACACAGGGTAAATCCTGAAAGTTAACTGACATAGGCAACATTTATCGTACTGCCATTAGTTTTACCCCCGATACTTCTCAAAACCAAAACACCAAAATAAAAATTTCCTTAAGAGGATGTTAGTATTTAACAATGCAGCATTTTCAGTAAAACTTAAAAATGTGGTCTTTAGACTTTTGAATGTCTTTGGTTTTTAATTTAAAACTTTAAAATGATTTCCTTTCAGAGACTTATGATTTGTCAGCTTTTTTGCTTCACTAATACTTTCTTCTTTCCTAGTTTTCAATGAATCCATTTTATGAACCCAATTCTCCTATTCGATCAAGTGCATTTGACAGAAAAGTTCAGTTTCTTGGGAAGAAACACCTTTTAAGCTGAATGCAGAAAATTCCAAAATAAATGATACCACCACAATGGTGTAAACTCAGGAATGTGTACATTGTAAGTTACTTGATTAAACAGCCTGGAAAACTTGTGTATTCCCAGCTTATCTAAACCTAATGAAATTCCTTTTATATTTAAAAATAGTACATTCTGTCTCATGTCACATATCAATAGATCAGTTGGTATTTCCTTGTGAACAGTGTTATTTATGAAGAGCTCATTATCAATAATCATGTTTTTTTTTTTTTTTTTTTTTTTTGGAGACAGAGTCTCGCTCTGTCGCCCAGGCTGGAGTGCAGTGGCGCGATCTCAGCTCACTGCAACCTCCGCCTCCCAGGTTCAGGCGATTCTCCTGCCTCAGCCTCTGACTAGCTGGGACTACAGGTGCGTGCCACCACACCCAGCTAATTTTTGTATTTTTAGTAGACATGGGGTTTCACCATATTGGTCAGGCTGGTCCTGAACTCCTGACCTCGTGATCCACCCGTCTCGGCAAGTGCTGGGATTACAGGCGTGAGCTACCACGCCTGGCCATGAAATAAGCTTTTTGTTTTTTTATGTTTTTGTTTGTTTGTTTGTTTTTATGAGATGGAGTCTCGCTCTTGTCGTGCAGGCTGGAGTGCAGTGGCACAATCTTGGCTCACTGCAACCTCCACCTCCCGGGTTCAACCAATTCTCCTTCTTCAGCCTCCCGAATAGCTGGGATTACAGGCGTGCACCACCACGCCTGGCTAATTTTTGTGTTTTTAGTAGAGACGGGGTTTCGCCATTTTGGCCAGGCTGGTTTCGAACTCCTGACCTCAGCTGATCCACCCGCCTCGGCCTCCCAAAGTGCTAGGATTACAGACATGAGCCACCGTGCCCGGCCAGGAATAAGCTTTTGACTTGCCTGATTCAGATAGGTTGATCTTTTGTGTTTTTTTTTTGAGATGGAGTTTCGCTCTGTCGTCCAGGTTGGAGTGCAGTGGCAGTTGTTTCACTGTAACCTCTGCCTCCTGACTTCAAGCAATTCTCCTGCCTCAGCCTCCCAAAGTGCTGGGATTACAGGTGTGAGCCACCGTGCCTGGCCCAGATAGGTTGATCTTAATGTAACAACCCAAAAATAAATGTCATAGTCAAGATTTGGTAGATAAATTTAAAATTAAAATATTCTGCAGTTGAGAGTGAAATGTGATAGCACATACATTGATGTTATGCATTTAAAGATGTTATAAAAATGTATAGGCAGTATACACAGCGCTACTCAAGAAGCCAAAGAAACACTTGTGCAGTGCTAAGTGTCACATGTCTGCTTCTGCCAGAGGCTAGGAATAGTGATCCTGCTATAATGTGAGAACCCAAATCATGTTTATAAAATAGGAGGCTGGGAGCAGTTGCAGGCCACAGTGAAGTGTGTTGCTTCTGTCACTTTATATTCTTATATTTCCTTTCCCTCAGACAGTAAACTGTTGATACTCGTAAAAAGTTGTAATGTAATTTTTAGTACTGTTGTCAAAGAAAAGTTTGGAATCCATTAACATTTGTACTCAGCCTTTTAGGTTATACACCAGAGGGGGCTGGGAATTTTCTCTTTGTTCCTATGATAAGTAGATCTTACTGTAAAATAGTAAATGTCCATTGGAAAGCAAGTAATACAACCTGTGCTAATTCGGAGCACTTGAACAATTTTGTTCCATTCTGAGTAACTTTTGAGCAAGTAATTCTAAGCTTTGTCTTGTATCCTTGTGTGAAATGGCATCATTTTTACCCTATTTGATTTCTTAAATAAAGATTTTTTTTAAGATCGTGGTAGTTTAATATCCATTTTTAAAGTGCTGCTTTCGTCCTCTCTCCCCTATTGATAGCGTGCAAACTGATATGATGTCTTCACCTGTTACAGAGCTCAGATCGACTCAAACTAGATGCCAGAGCTTTGGGAGCAGAAAAATTTACATACTCATCTAGAAATCTAGAAGTAATTTCAGCAAATGAGTATTTTTTTCTATATAGTTGGCCCCACCCTCAATGAGCATATCATCCAGAGGGCTGTGATGCAGGCCAACCAAGAGCAGCAGGGTGGATTGAGAGCGGGAAGACTTGGCTCAGCTGCCCAACAGTGGTACCCTTTTCTCCAGGCTGGTGAAGGTGAGGTAAGAACTAGTAACACACTTGTGAGTATATTACTAAAGTTAAATGCCAAATTTCATGTGTGAGTGAGTCTTTAAAGGAGCTGGAAGGGAAGTGGAGCATTGAGTGGGACCTCCAAGGTAGGCTGCACAGGAAAGCATTGCAGGCATGAAGGTGTGAAGAGCACTTGGGCACGTGGGTAGAATTGACAGCTGATAGATAGATGCTGATCATGAGGAAAGCTAAGCTGGCAAAGCTTGAATCTGGTAAGTGATGTCCCTTGAAGGTTCTGGAACACAAGAGCAATGGGATGAAGTCCATCTTAAAATCAGGCTCTCCTGAGCCCATGTATGTTAGCACAAATTTGGTTATCTGCTTAAGTGCTCCAAAAGTGATCTAGATAAAATATATACCGAGTTTTATCCTCTTGCTATAACCGGAAACTTCCTAGGATGCTTCCTCTGGCATGGACATAGATCGTCTCAATCTCTGCTTTGCCCATGCTGTTACCCATGCTCTTTAATTTTTCAGTCACTTCAACACTTCCTGGTTGACAGTCCAGAGTTCCAGAAACCACTGACTCTCCAGACACCACCTTTCACTGGGTACCACACTGGCGTGTTTTTCTACTTAACACTTTACTACTCTACAAGACACAGATAATGTGTGAGAACTTACATGGTGGTGTCATAATATTAAAACGAAAAGTTTGTACAGAAATATAAAAAGGTTTTCTTCCAAGACAAGTAATAGTAGGAATGTTTTAACTTCAACTAGGAAACTTTCCCCAAGGGTGAAAAATAACAAAATCATTTAGTCCATTAATGAATTGTAATTTTGTATCTTCCAATCAGCACATTGTAATTGTTACATCAGTTATCAAATGCACGTTTGTCTGTTCTCCAAGTTCAGTAGTTTACTTTTTTTTTTTTTTTTTTTTTGTGCTGGAGTGTCACTGTCACCAGGCCAGAGTGCAGTGGTGCAATCTAGGCTCAATGCAACTTCCGCCTCCCGGGTTCAAGCGATTCTCCTGCCTCAGCCTTCCGAGTAACTGGGATTACAGGCACGATGCCCAACTAATTTTTGTATTTTTAGTAGAGAGAGGGTTTCACCATGTTGTCCAGGATGGTGTCGACCTCTTGACCTCATGATCCACCTGCCTCAGCCTCCCAAAGTGTTGGGATTACAGGCGTGAGCCACCATGGCCGGCCTTGCCTTTTTTCTTAAAACTGAACTGTATCTCTGGCGGGGGGCACTGGTTCACTCCCTACATGACAGCCAGCTCCCCTCACCCAGCATGTCCTTTGATAACCCCATCACTCCCCAGTCGAGGGTCTCATCCACACTCAGTCTAGGCTTTGGTTAGCCTCCATGGAATCAGATAGTCACCAACCACGCAGCATATGAACTTCATCCACAAAAGACCACAATTTGCTTTATCAAGTCTGATCATTGCAACAAGTCTTTTTGTAACAAAAAATCTCCTTGAGAGCAAATCACTAAATGTTTAGTGATAGAGAAGACACCAAGTAAATACATTGCCGAATAAAGATGTCATTTACCCTCTCACAACGTACAATCCTTAGTATTTCTTCTGAGAGTGATAAAGTTAGCTTGTGTCTTGTGTTATAAAGGAATGTTTTAACTTCTTCAACTAAGAGACTTTCCCCAAGGGTGAAGAAAGTAACAAAAATATTTAGTCCATTAATCGAATTGTAATTTTGTATCTTCCACACAGTACATTGTAATTATTACATCAGTTATCAAATGCACATTTGTCTGTTCTCCAAGTTCAGTAGTTAGCCTTTTTCTTAAAACTGAACTCTATCTATGGCAAGGTTTTCCATTCATAGACAGCTTGAATTTAGCTGGATGTATTATAGACTGTATGAAGCAACTCTTGTACCACTGGGGGCCTGCCCTCTGCCTGAGACTGTGGAATGTGATCTATGGGGCTGGGGGTGCATGAATGACATACAAATGATGAGTAATTACTAGTGAGAGTAATTCTAATATGTAGAATGAAAACAGGAATGGTTAAGTCATTTTGAAGAGAATGAATTAACGATGCATTGCAAATACATTAGATTTTAATCTTTAATATCTAACATTATTGCTTTAGGAAATTATTTCCCTGAACCAAGAATACAATGCTAATTGCATAAAAACATACACATATAAAAAGTAGTTCTCCATTTTCCCAGGAAAAAATCCAAGTATAACTTCTAGAATAGTCAAGTTTCTTATTTTAATTATAATTAATGTCTTGGTCATCTCATTTATTAGCTCTGCAACTTACATATTTAAAGAAACGTTATTAGACAACCGTTACAATTTATAAATGTAAGGTGCCATTATTGAGTAAATATATTCCTCCATGATTGGATATGTCCCTTCTCCCACCAACTAACGAAGCAGCAACATACATTAGTTTAATTTTATTAGTAGATGATACACTGCTGCAAATGCTAATTCTCTTCTCCATCCCCATGTTGATTTTGTGTATATGTGTGAGTTGGTTAGAATGCATCAACAATCTAACAATCAGCAGCAAGATGAGCTAGGCTTGGGCTTTCGGTGAAGATTGACTGTGTCTGTCTGAATCAAGTGATCTGACCTATCCTCAGTAGCAAGAACTCTTCGAACGGCTTCCTCAAAGGCTGCTGCCACATTTGTGGCATCTTTTGCACTCGTTTCAAAGTAAGGATAGTCGCCGTTATCCCTGCACCAAGCTTGGGCTTCTTCTGTAGACACCTGCCGTTCGCTTATGTCAATCTTGTTACCCAGAATCACAAAAGGAAAGCTGTCAGGCTCTTTCACATCTGCATAATATATGAATTCTTTCTTCCAGTTACTTAAGTTCTGGAAGCTTTGTGAATCATCGACACTAAAAGTAAGCAGGCAGCAGTCAGAACCTCTGTAAAATGGCGTCCTCAGGCTTCGGAATCGCTCCTGACCTGCCGTGTCCCAAATCTGCATGGTAACAAAATGCCCATCCACTTCCAAATCTTTATTTAAAAATTCCACACCTATTGTATGGAAGAGCTGGGTATCAAACTTATTAGTTACATATCTGTTCATAAGTGAACTCTTCCCAACTCCACCATCTCCAAGGAGAATTACTTTAAAAAGTGATGATTTTCCTGCCATTGTTAATCTCAAGAGCTTCAAGAACCCTGTAAAATAAAAAGGCACCATTACATTCCTTTATACCTACACATTCATCTACATGATTCTGTGAATATCAGCATTTAACTGAAATAAAACATACAGCCCCAGGGAATACCTAATAAGAAGACTTCTTGTTTACTGAGCACTCAGCCATGTGCGGCTATTAGTCTACCATTATTCTCTGAAACAGCTGGGAAGGGCTCACTCTTCCCCTTTCTCTGGTCACAGTTGACTGTGAAACTGGCACTCAAGCTCAAGTCTGACCCCAAAGCCCTTGCTCTGAACCGTTACTCTATGATAAGCCCCTCTCTGTTCATAGTAAGCCCTACCACCATTTGTTAGAGATGGGTAGGAGATCAAAGTTCGCATGGTTTTTTGTTTTGTTTTGTTTTGTTTTGTTTTTTGAGACAGGATCTCGCTGTCACTCAGGCTGGAGTGCAGTGGGACCATCTTGGCTTACTGCAGCCTTGAACTCCCAGGCTCAAGCAATCCTCCCGCCTCAGCCTCCCAAGTAGCTGGAACCACATGAAGCACACCACCATGCCTTGCTCATTTTTCTATTTTTTGTAGAGACAGGGTCTCAACCATGTTACCCAGGCTGGCTTCAAACTCCTCCACCCAAGCAATCCACCTGTCTTGGCCTCCCAAAGTGCTGGGACTACAGGCGTGAGCCACCGTGCCCGGCCCATGTGTTTCTCTTAACAACTTCAAACAGCCCTTCAGTGCACAGTTGTGGTGTTCACTGATGGCCTCTCTTGTACCAGGGACTTTCTCTACTACTTCCTACGACCCCTTCCCTGTCTCTCTTCAGACACAGGTGCTGTTAACCAGGAAAGTCAGAGACAGAAGCTGACTTATCCTGCTGTGAAATAAAATATAAAGCAACCACTGAGTAAATGTACTTTATTCTCTTCATTAAGAACACTATTTTTAATTTGTTCAAATTAATGTCAGCAGCAATGGAATTTTTATTTTAATATAATCTAGTACATTCTACCCACAAGATTCACTTGGGCAGTTCAAACACTTAAGGAACATGAGACTGTGCTGGTACTTGTGTGTTCTGAGGAGGAATGAAATAAATCTTAAATGAAAATGTGGTACTATATATGTTCTTTAGAAGTCCTGTGGCAGGATTAAAAACTTTACTACACTACAAGAGCCAGCCTGTGGGGGGTGAGATTTCAGATGCCTGTTGACAGATAGCTACTTCTAGGTGCTGGTGGGAGCACAGTTCCTGGTTAATCCTTCTGTTTACATTTTTATTGTGGAAAATTTAAAACATATACAAAATGTCTATGTAATGAGTATAATACAATGAGCTCCCATGAACTCTAAACCCAGCTTCACCAATTATCAACTTACGGCAAATCTTGTTTCCTCCATAACCCCTCCAACTCTCCCTTCTCCCCAGTTATTTCAAATCAGATTATATCATTTAATCTGTACTTTAGTATTAAATGGTTTTTAAGTATACTAAAATGTATATAAGAAAATACTAGAGAAGCACTGTACAACAGAATTTGATGCAACAATGGAAATGTCCAATATAGCAGCCACTTAGCCGCATGTGACTGTTGAACACCTGACATGTGGTTGATGGAAGTGAAAGACCGCATTTTAAATTGTATTCGATTTTAACTAAATAGCCACATTTAATGAGCCAATTGCTGTATTGGAGAGCACAGATCTAGAACAAATTTGGTCAATAACCTTAATAGGAAAGTAGGTATTATGAATCCCTCAATGGGAAGGCAATAAAGACATGAATAATAATTGTTATATTGACCAGGATGAATTTGTAAAATCACTGCAGAAAACATCTGGCTGTCTCCTGGTTATATGCAATGTGAGCAACTATAGTATAACTGAACACTTCCTGTAACATGTAGGAATTCTGCATTTCTAACTACACGCTCCACTGTTCTGATAAAAACCTTGTAGCAGCTTGTATAATGAGAAATTAAATGAATGGGAAAATATTATTAAAAAATGATGGGATATACCTTAGTCCCTACCACTTACTGGTTCTTTCATATTACTACTACAGGCCAGGCAGAGTGGCTCACACCTGTAATCCCAGCACTTTGGGAGGCTGAGGCGGGCAGGTCACTTGAGGTCAGGAGTTCGAGACCAGCCTGGCCAACATCGTGAAACCCTGTCTCTACTAAAAATACAAAAAAAAAAAAAAAATTAGCAGGACGTGGTGGCGAGTGCCTGTAGTCCTAGGTACTTGGGAGGCTGAGGCAGGATAATCCCTTGAACCTGGGTGGCAGAGGTTGCCGTGAGCTGAGATCGCACTACTGCACTCCAGCCTAGGTGACAAAGCAAGACTCCATCTCAAAAAAACAAAACAAATTAATACTACAGTAATTACTACTATAATTAATATTTATACAATTTAAACTGTCCAACACAAGTGTGTGGCAGTTAAGGTGCACACCTTTTGAGAGACTCTTTCAATTTCAAATGTCTTGCTCTACTCAATATCCAGACTAAATTAACGTTAAAGAGGAAACAAACAGTCCCAAGCCCCTTACTTTCCTGACATAGGTAACAATGTGTTAAACTGGCTGCTTTAATTCTTTGGCATCTTTGCTTCAACAACTTCAACTTAAAGAGAAAAGACTGAAAACCATAAAAGCAAACCAAGTATTTTGACATAGGGGAACCGTCTATCTAATGTCTCCTCAGAATTCTTCAGTGGGTTGTTTCCCAGAGAAGGCAAGACACCTGGCTCCTGCTCTTGGCCAGCCTCACTCTAGCCACCTCCCCCCTCACAGCCTCTGCTTCAGTCATTCTGAGTGCACCAGCACACGGAACTGAAATTCAATTCCACTCGCTCAGCACACCCTACACTCTCTTGCCTCCTCCCTGGCATATGCTGCTCCTTGCTGGTGACCGCCCAACGAACCACTGTCCCTTTAGAACTGTTCAGCATGGTCATCGCCTCCACTGGGAACCCTGCCCCAGCAACTCTCCCAATGTTTTTCCTTTCACACAATTTCCGTGTTGTGTTATGAGAGTACAACAGACATCATTTATTCCAATATTTTAATAAGTCTCTACTGATCTAACTGCCTTATCAGACACAAAGTTTTACCATACATCACTGAATTTTTAGCATCTTTATATCAAATTACAAACCAGATCATGCAATCTAACAAACCCCACCCAGACTATTGGTTGCATATATCTAGTAAATTAAGTTTTAGAAATTCCTTGAAAGTGGTAATTTATAATTTTATCAAGACACTTTGATAGTTCTTTTCTTTTTTCATAATAATGTAGGACTTCCTAGTTTGTGTCATTCTGACCAAATGAATTTGGGGTATGCCAACCCCACCAGGAAACAGAGTATACGGTACAATTTTTTACATTTTCCATCTACAGTTTGAGGCCTACCATATATTCCCATTTGGGAATATATTTGCATTTGCCAAAATAATTTCTACATGAATATCTAACTGTAGAGTTGTATAAAAACACACATGGTGATAATAAATAATTGTACACACCATCTTATTTACCAATGACATCTAACAAAAGCCAGTTTCATTCGATCTACCCATAATATAATCACAATCAGCTTATAGACATTAAAAATATTATTTTTCTCTTTAAAAACAGTAAAATCCTTTGAAATTTCTTTAGTATAAGTTAAATAAATAAAGGGATCCTACTACGTTATTTTCAAAATTTGCCTAAAAAGGTAATGTGAAGTCTCTTATACTTCACAGTTTAAAATGACTGTCCAAAGACAATTTTCGCCAAGGTTAAAACATTAGTAATTCTGCTAAATTCTATGAAGAAATCTGAATAAGGGGCCAGGAGCAGTGGCTCATGCCTGTAATCCCAGCACTTTGGGAGGCTGAGGCGGGCAGATCACTTGATGTCAGGAGTTCGAGACCAGCCTGGCCAACATGGTGAGACTTCATCTCTACTAAAAATACAAAAATTAGCCAGGCGTGGTAGCGCATGCCTGGAATCCCAGCTACTCAGAAGGCTGAGGCATGAGAACTGCTTGAACCCGAGAGGCGGAGGTTGCAGTGAGCCGAGATTGCGCCACTGCACTCTAGCCTGGGTGACACAGCTAGACTCTATCTTAAAAAAAAAAAAAAAAAGAAATCTATATAAGAAAAGCATATTACATAGGTCATAAATTTTACCTGAATTTAATTGTTCAAGCATCATTATCTACAAAGAAAAAAATTAGAAAACTCACCTTAACAGTGTATGTTTTCATAATTTTGAGAGTAAAATGAAGAATTAAAATGTTAAAGTACAGTATCTGACTTCTATTAGCAGCCAGATTCTTAACTTAAAAGAAAAACCTGAATACTTTCCATAACCTTTCTCAGTCCAAAAAAGTCCTACAATCAAATATTCTACTTTAATCATTACGTTTTTCAAGAAGTTTTTCATCTATCCATCTTGTTTTCTAAGTTTCACATTCAGAGACAGATATGAAATTATATCAAGAGGAAATGTACAATATTTCATTCATTCTTTAAAACCTGCCCAAATTTTGGGTGGCTGAGAATGAGTCATATTCCGGAGAATAAAATGAAGATAACACAAAAGGGAAGACAAAAGGGCCATGTGAGGGAGGGGTACCAACATGATACAGGAAAGGTCAGGCTAAGGCTCAAGGGAGCCCAGCTTCCAGGCAGCCAAGGCAAAAATGAAAACGCTCTTGTTTCTGTGCAAATCAAAGCACACTCAGAAAAGAGAACTTGTTCCTGGCACCAAATGCCATGAGCACAGCCCCATGGGCGAACTATTTAACATCCTGAATCCTCATGGGAACAACAGTGACAGCAGTACCTACCTCCTAGGGTTGTTGAGAAGATGCACTCAAACAACAGAGGAAAAGTGTTTCATCACAGTGCCAGGCTCATTACAGGAGTGCAAGAGTGTCTGTGAAATGAATACATGAATAAGTCTTCACTGGCAGTTTTACAGACAGGTTCTTTTTATGGTCATGTCTTACATCAACCTTCAGTAATGGCAACAGGCAGAACAAATTAGAGGACGATATAGGCCTACACTAGGAAGCTGAAGGATCCTAGTCCTAGAGTTCAAATTCAATGTCAAGGTCTCCCAGTGATCACTATGTGTAACTGTGCTAAAGTACTAGCCTCTATTGGTCTGAACCAAAGGTTTCAACCACCCTCCCCACCCACCACTTTTTAAAGCAAAGGGCATTTTTGTGGGACTTACATATAGCAGTCCTTAATTTATAAAATACAATTAATAATAAAATGAGACGCTTCAAAATCCTGACATTTGGGGTTGAAGATGAAACAACAATAGCAGCTAGCATTGAGCCTGGTATGTTATGCAAGCTACAACACTGTGTTTATTCCTCACAAGTCTCTTAGTACCTATTACACATGAGGATACTGACTCAGAGAGGTTACATGCATGGTCAAGGTCACACACCTAGTGAAAGGCGGGGGTAAGATATGAACATGGCCAACTGACTAAAGCCCAGGCACTTAACCCACTAGGCTACGTCAATCCCAACTGCCTATGCATCTGTTTCTGAGGTTCTACTGTTGTTGCTGCAGGTAGAATGAAAATAAGCAATTGCAAATGGTAAGAATCTTTCAACCACTTGCTTTATTTCAAAATCTGCTCAAGAACAAGATTAACCTGACAGAACCAGTAATCTCCAATCTTACTGACATGTAGCATAAAGCACATGTGTCTATGCTTTATTAGAGTTTAAGTAGTTTAAAACATGTTTTACATGAAATGAGTCAAATTTTGCAGAAGCTTACCATTTGGTAGAACGACTGGGAAAGTAATTTTTCAATAAGTATTTAGTGAGTGCCTGCTATGAGCCAGACCCTGAAGATACAAGCCACACATACAGTCCCAAGTTTGTGGAGCTTGTAATTGGGTGAAGGTGACATCCACATACAAATGCATTTAAGTCACAACTGTACCTCGCAAAATGAGAGGTATATGGTATAAAGTACAACTATTCACACTCAGCCAAAAATCAAAGAACAACTTAAAATAGTGCAAGGGATTCTGCCCACCATCTCCCTCAGTGAGTGAGATGCACAATGTGTAAACCTGGGCCTCTCTCAATCAGACTCAGATTCCCCGTGCCACTATCTTACGGAGCTGCCTGAGTCCATGAGAGTTCAGCCACCTGGGGGACTTAATTTACATGCAAACATGATCCTGTAACACAAGCCAACTATTTCACTTGCTGAGCTGCAGTTAAGGAAAAAGAGGTAACTTCCAACATCAGAGGGAAACTAGGCTGTGTTAATGAGAGACTGTACATCGGTTTCTAGTGTGATGCTTCCAAAGCAATGTCTCCATGATCATTTTAGCCATGTGCTGCCATGAGAACACAGCCCTCGCCAAAGTCTGATTCTGCTGGAGGGGATCTGACCCAGGGGAAGTAGGTGTGACCACAGATTAAGCTCAGCAAGAGCAAGAGAAAACTATGAGAAAAGAGGAGGGAGCAGGAACCAGAAAGTGGGACCAATCCATGCCAAAGAAGCCTGGCTCTGGCATGAACTAGGAGAATTCAAGGTAGGCCTGAGCACCTGGAGGCTGGAGAGTGAAGAGTATGCTACAAAGACGGGACTGAAGGAAGAGGCCCAGGAGCAGGGAGGGGAGTAGAAGCCACGGGAAGGATTTCTGCCTGTACTCTAGGAATGATGGGGAGTCTCTGAAATAGCTTCAGCAGTGGGTGACCTGGTCAGATAAGGAGTCCAGAAAGCTAACTGGATGCAGTGGGAGAAGGGCTGTGGGTGAGGTGGGGAGGAAGGCCCTGGACAAGCTGGGATGGATGCCGCTACGATCCCTCTCCACTACTAACAGTGTCAGCTAGGCTTACGACTGAAAATTGAGGTGGCTGTACCTCACACTTGATCCTCCAGTAAGATATTTACTATATGACTTCATGCTTTACCTTGTTCACGTTCAAATCCCTGGCCCTTTACCTAACTCCTAGTCACCTGTGCGGATGTAGCTAGACCTCATCTCCCGAACACCTACTGGACATCTCCAACTGAACCCCCTTCCTCGACACTCCTAACCACCCTGTGCGTGCCTCCACCATTTACCATAAGGAATTCTGTAACTGACATGTCTACTATGTCTAGTAAAAATGAAACATGCTCTCTTAAAAAACTCAAATTATATGGATATGTACTATACAATTACAGAAATGTCCATACATTTTTGAGTTGTCAATGTTTTAGATTGCACCAAAAAAGTGCATACCCATACTATTATCAAACCACCTTCCCCTAAAAAGAAAGAAAATGTCCATAAATTGATGAATGGATAAATAAAATGCAGCATACATCCATGCAATGCTGTAATGTAGACAAACCTCAAAAACATTATGCTAAGTGAAGGAAGTCAGAACAAAAGCCTACCTACTATATGATTCCATTTATATAAAATGTTCAGAATAGGCAGATATGGAGACAGTAGATTCATTGCTGCCAAGGGATGGGGCGGGGGGCGGTGGCAGGTAAAGGAGGAGTGACTGCTAATCGGTATGCGGTTTTTTTTGGAGGGAGGTAATAAAAACATTCTGGAATTAGATAGTAATGATGGTTGTACAACTCTGTGAATATACTATAAACACCAATGAATTGTATACTTTAAAAGGGTGAATTCGGCCAGGTGCCGTGGCTCACACCTGTAAACCCAACACTACGGGAGGCCAAGGCAGGCAGACCACTTGAACTCAGGAGTTTGAGACCAGCCTGGGCTACATGGTGAAACTTCATCTCTACAAAAAATACAAAAATTAGCTGGACGTGGTGGCGCATGCCTGTAGTCCCAGCTACTCGGAAGGCTGAGGTAGGAAGATCACCTGAGCTTGGGAGAGGTCAAGGCTGCAGTGAGCTGTGATCACACCACTGTACTCCAGCCTGGGTGACAGAACGAGACCCTGCCTTGAAAAAAAAAAAAAAATTACTGTATGTGAAAATACATATGCAAATCTCCTGAGAATTAAAAATATGACCCTAGAATTAGATTTACACAACTAGAGCTACAAATGTTCTCCTTGTCCCTTCAGCAGCATCCCTTTAAATAAATCATTTACATGTACAACAGACACTACTTTAGGATTCCCATACCACGTGCTGGTACCAACATATGCTGTATGTGTCATACACTAATCCGAATGTAAAGTTGGATAAGCAGGTCACTGGCAGGAAAAAAAATGAACCACATTGCCAGCAGATACCGCAAAATTCAAAAGACAAAAGAACATTTTATATTAACCCTTTCCTTCTTATAACACTATTTTCCCAACTTTTCTATTATGTACTTTTATATTATCAATTGTTCACGAATAGTTATTCAGTAGTACCCTTTTCTCTAGCCTTCTCCAACCCCTTGCTGGCTTCCAAAGCCATATACTACAAGAAACCAAGGGGAAGACCGGAAAGCCTCAAGGTCCAAGCATCAAGAGTATAATTCTGCTGGCCAGGCACAGTAGCTCATGCCTGTAATCCCAGCACTTTGGGAGGCCGAGATGGGCAGATCACTTGAGCCCAAGAGATCAGGAACCAGCCTGGGCAATATGGTGAAACCCCATCTCTACAAAAAATACACAAATTAGCCAGGTGTGATGGTACATATTTGTAGTTCCAGCTACCTGGGAGGCTGAGGCAAGAGGACCGCTGGAGAGGCGGAGTTTGCACTGAACCGAGATTGTGCCATTGCACTCCAGCCTGGGTGACAGAGTGAGACTCTGTCTCCAAAAAAAAAAAAGAATATAAATCTCTAATATGACTGTGTATGTGATTGAAGTTAGACTTTTTTTATTGGTCCTGGATCTAATTGTCTCCATTCCTACAGATAACTAAATTCAATTTATTTATTATTTTTATTATACAAGATTTTTGAGCATGGCATTCAAAGAGCTATCCAACATCAGTTACAAGCTTGCACCAATTATATCCCTACTACTCACCATCCCCACACCCATCACTGCCATTTTCTGTCCATATCTTTGCTCGGGCTGTTACCTTGGCCTGCAAGGCCCCGCCCTACTTTGATGGCTATGATCATCTTAGTCATCAGAGGCCCAGTCCAGATCACCTCATGTAGGAAGCCAGGGCCGCCCTAGCAACCTAATCTTTCTCTTTTCTTCACTCTCATCATCATTTCCACCTCTTTACAACTCTCATTTACTTATGTTCTAATCACCTTCTGTCTTGTTTCCTAATTACAATGTCAACTCCCTGGGAGGGACACACAACACCTAATTGCATCCACTTGTCCCTTTTTTGTTCTGCCACTTCTGTACAATGCTCTACATTTGGTGAGGTGCAAATAAATGCTAAATTGAGAACGAAGAGTGTATTACTTCCTCTTTTATTCTTGTTATTCTATTATTATTCTATTTGTGCTTTCTGTACTTAAAATTCTTTGTTTCTCTATCAGTTCTCCCCGCATTCTATTTTTGAAGTCTATTAAAATGTGTGGGAAGGAACAAAAAAATTGATTCTTACTTGCAATCCCAATGAGAATCCCACTTTAAGCTCCCTGACTGCGACAGGGAGCTGGCAAATGCTGAAAAACAACTACATTCCTTAATAAGCTGCCAAAGGGAGAGCAGGCATCATTTGTAAACTGCCTTCTCAAAACTTGAATTTTAAAACACATATTCTGTAACCCCTCCAAAAACTTGAATTGAATTTATCACTCCTGGTTTAAATTTAGGAACAGATTTTTTTCTTTTTTTTTTTTTTTTTTGGTCAAATTCACAAGTTCCTTTGGATTCACCCTGAATGTCCTACTTAGAGGTGTACGTATCACTTCACTTCACTTCATAGCTTGAGAAAGTGAGGTTCAAAGAAAACCAGGGAAACAAAAGTACGGATAATCTGAAAATTATTTTTGCTGGAGCTGTATTTATTTCC